TATCCGATAGTTTGTATGGTTAGGTTTAATCAATTGAGGTTATCGTACAACTATAATTTCTGATTGTAATTGATTGTCTAATTAGAATCAATATAAGAAATACAGTAATCTCCCCAACCCTTTTACACGAATAATAATAAAAGCGGCGGCCTGTTTGAATATCTGAGCTACCTGTTCCTGCATCTGGATACTTCAACAGGTTTTTGTTCTCCTTTTTGTTTGTTTCGACAGATCATTATGTCAATTGATACCATAACTAAGGGATCATTCAGGCAGTTCAATTTATCAGTTACGATGGTGTGTTTGTACTTAGAACATTTTATGATATGGACAGCCAATCAGAAGTAGCAAAAGGTCAATCGATGGGTCAATATCCTAAGGATAGAGTGGTATATAAGTGAATGAGTATTTGTGCATTTTACACACTTTCTCAGTCACTTCTGTGTTCTTGCTCAAATAGTCAGTTAAGGGGGGTTAACGTATAGCATACCATTTATCAGTACTAGATTTCAGACACTGCAGGTCACAAGACTTTACATATTAACAATGATCAATATAATATTCAGACAGTTATTTGTAATGTAATTCCTGCCATTTTCACAAACACATACATAAACAAATCTTCCAGAAGTTTGATAATGAAACCATAACTTGGTAAAATCTACTGACGATACACGTGATTCAAGTGTATCGAATACAACAGTTTAACTAACCATATTCATATACATATACATACATGTACATTAAAAAAAATAAAGACTTGAAATTCACCTAGTGACAGTCGGATAAATTTTAAATCAAAATGCCTACAACTGCATCTACTAGTACGCATGGGAAATAGACGAACAGAGGCATCTGTAAAGCAACCCACATTTAAGTCCTCGTATTCTTCATGCTAAACGATTATCTCTTTGTATATTTTGTGCGTCTAAATCAAATTTTGATATATAATACATTCAAGTGTGTTCAATCTTTCCTTTCTGACTTGACCAGTACACATACAAAATCTCACCAAAGGTCAAACTCATAGCCTGTGATATCGCTCACAAAACATTAAAATCTAGTTTATTGAGTCAGAATCCAACATTTTACGATGATAACTCGATTAAACTCATGATGTTGCTAAACCATTTCCTAATGTTTTCTGTGAATAACTGTCGTATATCCGACATATGTCTACTTCACGGATCACAGCTTTTCATTAGAATTCCAGAAATAACTTTTGCAATTAGTCGTTAGTAGAAGTATGATAACTATCAGTACAATAGATTGATGGGGATTATTAAATGTGACTGATATCAAGAACATTCCTGGTTTTCTATGGATTTCAATCTTCGTGACATCATCAACATTCTACGTATTATTGCTTTTTTGACCTCTCATATTTCACCAAAAAGAGGTGATAGTAATGAATATCTGCTACGAATAAGAAAAATAATTCACATATTTTTATTGGTAATAATATTCTACAAAGTGCTGATTAGTTTATTTGTCCACCTTGATTGTTTTCTTCAGCATAAAAAATAACTGACCCATATAAAATAAAGCTTAAACGCTTATAACTACTTATAATTTGTTAGTAGCTAAAAACTAAAAACATATTTTTAAAACAATCACTAGATATTCAGAAAATACCTCTAAATAATCTAATTACTTAAATATTTAACAGAAGATTCGACCAGTCAGATATTTCAACGTAAGTTGAATATGAAATAGTATTACATCTACAATTAATTAGGATGAATTGATGAAAGAACTATTTATAAATTTGCAAAAGTACAAATTATTATAAACTATTCACTTAGTATTGTTTGTTTGAATCTTCCCATTGATGTTTTAAGACTGCAACTAGTCAGTCTCTAATTAGCATATGTGCATCCTGTGCGCATTTCCTCAATATAGTCTTAATTCACAAGCATTGTAAGCAGAGATGGATAGTGGTTAGCAGTGGAATCCATTTTGACGCTCGTTTCGTCCTGGATTCCACTGCTAGACTTTATCTATTTTTCCCTATAATTTTTTTTCTGGTAAGCGTTTTTTAGCTAGTTAGTTTTCCACGGGATAGGGTCGCTAACCCTATGCCCAACCCTCCTCCGCTATCACAGCTTGGGACCGGCAGTAGCCCCCGGAGGAACTACAGGTGGAGTTATCTTTGCTTATAATGCTTATTAATTAGGGCAATATCGAGGCAGTCCGCGTAGGATGCAAATATGCCGAGGAGAAACTGATCAAGCGCAGCCCTAAACAACAATAGGAAGATACAAGTAAACAATATTAATCACAGCTAATCCGTGAAATTTCTCCGTTATATGTATAATGTCTCTAGTGAAGTATGGAATATTATTAGATTGTTTCGAGGGTACTTTCAAAATATTTCAACGTAGAGAAACGTGAATCTATGACTGACTAACTAACTAACTTTTCAAATTTATTTGTTTGAGAAGAATTATTTTTAAGATAAATTGTTTTTCATATGTAAGAAATATTACTTTTGGAAAAATTATATGAGACTACATTGAGTATCATGGTATTCAATAGTCGAAAATGCATAATAATCGTCCTTACCAACGTAGTCAATTAATATTTATTACTTCATCAACTGATTTAGCATCTTTACCAAGTACTACTCTGTTAACCTTAGCGATTATCACTGTCATTGCAATATATAGAAACAATGTTTGAAGAACATCTGTGGTCAAATACTAGTAATACAAGGACCTCCATTTTGAAAGTCACATTTTATACCCAGAACGTTGAGCGAGTCCGGTGGCTACGTAATATACTCTCCATTCGGTTAGCGAATTCATATATCGCTCTCACCATAAATGACTTAATTTGAAAATTCAGGGAGACTCCCTGAATTTCAGTTCAACGCTGGAGGAGTGATGGGGCTTCCAGGATAGGTGAGGTCATCAAAGTACTCAGCGATTTCACTCCCTACCATTACTTCATATGTTAACGCAGACCTGTCCCAAATCGACATTTAACATTTACAGTCAGAGAAACTAATTTCAAACCCCGTTTGCTTGTTGCGCGATCAAATCAAAAGATTCTGTGTTATATGCTTGATTTTTTAATTAATGCATTTCCACACTGACATCTAATATTTTTGCCATAGATAAACCTCATAAACAACCAACCATTGTGGTGTATGCTACTGATGTCGACAGATATAAGTAGTATGTATTATAGTGTCGGTTACTATGTTAAGCCAATAAACCTTATTCTAGCTTCTGGACAGGCCAACTTATCTATTCTTCTTGAGTCACGTTTTGACCTTTTTAATTATTCGCTTATCAAACTTGACCGTTTTTATATGAGCGTATGTGTCTGCACTTCATAACCTATTCATCACATAAATGTAACTTATTTTTGTGTGACTTTAAATATTGATTAAATTGAGTTGGCTCACACGCCTTCTCCACTACGCGTCATTTAGTTTCGCTTCGATTCATTAGCTGCGATTCTCCGACTGTCTGTTGAAATCAACGATTGTACAAAATATACGTATTCAAAACTTCATTCTCGTATTTGGCTTATTTAATTCTGTTATTCACTAACGCGGATCAAGCCGATAATTTTATACGAGGATAGACGATATGTATATTTCAATAACAATCAGCATACAATCCAACTGGAGTCAGATCAGGAGCTACAAAAGTATCATCAATCGAAAGTGAAATGTCTGGCGACAGAAGTTTAAGAAGATCAAAGAGAACGAGAACAGAGTGATTGGTGTGGAAACGACGGAACAGTCTAGTCTGAGACAATTGATTGACATTTTGCTAATGAAGCATTTACTGTATGGTTCTCAGATTTGACCAAGGCATTCTGTAATTTTGTGTTCAAATACATTTGATTGTCCGCTTCAATGTTCCAGTTATCCACTTATCTACTAATTGAAGATAGCCATTACCTTGTGCAATGGGCTGAAGTTGAATTTACTTTTTCTTGGTTGTTTAATTATTTTAATTGATGTTTAGGAATGCGATTGATCAGTCTCTTTATGGCATACATGCATCTTATGCGGATTGTCTTAAAGATGCACAACAAATGTCACCTCAGCGACTTTTACATCGACTATCATTCCAAATAATGAGGTCGGTATGAAAATCAAATAGATAGTTTACTGCATAGCACAGAGGTATGGACTTCCTGGTTAAGTTCCGAGATATAGTCCAACTCATCAGCTTGAGACGTCATCAGACATGATTCAAAATAGAAACCTATACTAATCTTGTCGTGGCATTTTTTTCAATATTCTTCATCAAGGTGAAACTCCTTTGAATAAAAAAACTCTTTCTGTTAGTATTTTTCCTAAATGAACTATATCTTTCATTAAATTATTTATTTAGTTATTTAAACACATAAATATTGGTACAAGGAAGCAGATAAATGTGCGCCATACAAATCTCATTCGATTTGTGTGAGGGCTGTGATACTGCCCAGGTGTCCAGACTGAAACAGGTGGTTTTCTTAGGGCCACACCCCGAGCCTTTGACCTAAAGGTCTAACCCACAAGGCAGTGGAGCATCGTAAGGAGATGCAGTCTCATGGTAGCCGGTGACCAAAGATTGGTTCATATGCCATTTGTTCACTCAGGATACTGGAGCCCATGTACACCATTGGTTTAGAATCAGGGTTTTCCAACCCCTCTAGGTCAACTCGCCATGTCCACCAACCCGGATAAAGTGCAGGACATTCACCTTTCGTCCTCTCAATTTTGTAAACTACACCCGCACCACGAGAAGGCAGTGTGTAGGACTTCCCTGACAGAGGCTATATATTCGCGTGGCCATGTGAGAGCATTTCTAGAGGGAGAGCGGACTCTCCGCACTCTCGGCCGTACCACAGCATTTGGGGGCCTTTCATTAAATACTACTACCATTAATTATTCATACGAAAACATAATGTACTTCTTCAAAATACAACAACAAAACAATTTATTCAAGAAAAAAACAATTTCCCTTTTTACGGAATGAATACAATTAAAAACCTAATCAATTTAAATATTCATGAATTCTTCTTTGTTGTTGAAATTTTTTTAATGCATCTTTCAAAAGATTTAATGTTATTCCATGTTCAACTAAATGACATTGTACACCTAATTTAGAAATGTCATGAATGTTACGAGTTTCATCATCAAAAAATAACATATCTGCATAGTCTATACCAGATAATTCATGAAATCTGAAATATATATAGAGAGAGTAAATAAAAAATAGAATAATTGAAGATAGTAACTAGTGTACATGTAGGTTTGAAGAAAATTAAAGATGTCCAGACTAAAATGTGTTATAAGTTCAAGACCACAGCTCAGTGGTCTATCGGTTAAGGGCTCAGGCTCGAGACTGGTAGGTCCTGGGTTCGAATCTCGCGAGTGCGGGTTCGTGGATGCGCACTGATAAGGAGTCCCATAATAGGACGAAACAGACGTCCAGTGTTTCCAGGTTTTCCATAGTGGTCTAGCTTCAATTGACTCACGCTTTCAACTATGAAATATACTAAATCTCCACAAAAGCCCCTTCTGATAAACTATATAAGTACGTCGGTCAGAATACTAGATTAGGGTTTACACGGTCATCGTAAACAATGGTTGGAGATTTCAAGTGCCAAGGTTTCGAATCATTCGTAATGGAGTAGATGCACACCTAATACTACTACTACTCCCTCTACGAATACTGTTACAACTTTTATTACTCTGAAATTTTTCCTGGTGATTTAATTTCACTGCAGTAATGTAGTGTAACAACATGAGCCGATACACATATTTGCCAAGTATTTACATTACACATGACTGACTGACTAGAGTGAAAATGTGAAAGGTCTTTATTTGTTTCGAGGGAATAATTTTGAAAAATGATTGAAGATAACAAGAAAGGGGTGTTTGTCAACCATTAGGTGCATTGATCGAAGTGCTTTTATACAAGGATAACTAGTTTGGTTGAAATGTAGGTTTTAAACAATGTAGTGCCAGGACTTCTACCGACTGGCCCTTGTTAACAAGAAAAAAACTATATTAAAGCATGTTCCATACACGATTATGTTGGGGTACACTGATTGACCCATTCTCAGCCAATGACCACAAGCAGATAAATGGAGAAGACTCTAGAATCTTTCTGCACAAAAGTTATAAATACATTGGAAGTTTTCTTATTGAAACTTAAACTTTGCTTGCTGTTTTGTTTTTGGAATATAATTAATTTCCTGTTCAAGTCGTGTTCAGATTTGGGGACTATTTAGATGAAGTAGTGTTATTAGGCAATCCAAGTAACCGAATCCGATAAGGACCTGAGCAGACAATTTTTATGCATCCAATATATTACACAAAGTATGCTTTGTGTGTGAAATGCATTAGCTGGCCATAGATTAATCAGAAAATTTCAAGCCAGGGAAGGGTTAGATACCACAACAATCAGATTATAAGTAGACTAATTTGACTAAAAAAGAAGTAAAATACCCAAAAGCACAATGCTGGATAATTATTGAGCTGCCAAAGTAAGACAGTACACTAACTTTCAAACTGAATTTCTCAGGGTGGTCTTTGTCTATGGTTACGGATATTGGGCAATACGGTCTTCGATCAGTCGCCTAGATAGAGATGTAAGATACGTTTAACTTTCCAATCCTAGACTATTTCTAGACAACTGAAACATTGTTTATTCAGTAATTTAAAAACAAATCTTTTTGAAATTATACCTTCTTAGGATCTTATCTGTGTTAAAAAAATCAGATGTGAAAGCAATCAATACATACCTTTTAAAGTGAGCAGTTTTTGAACCAGGGTATATTTCTGTGTAATCAAATAAATCTGACCAATTAAGAGCTTGTAGAAGTTGTCGAGCAACACTGATAGCAGAAGTACTGAAAAAAAGACAAATCGGCGATAAAAAAGCAATGATTTACACCTGGATGAAAAACTATCTCAATGCTAAATTTATTATTTATTTATTTAAACACAAATATTGGTACAAGGAAGCACCAGATAAATATGCGCCATACACTTGCACTTGGAGGGTGCAAAGCACAGACCGTACCTACGGACACTGATTGCTAACTGATTAAGTACGGATTGCATGGCTTAGGTATTCTCGCATAGTAAGACAATATCATCCGCATACTCAAGGTCGAGAAGTCGTTCTCCAGGCAACATATCCACACCGCCATTACTTACATCCATCAGAGATGTTTCCAGGATGTCGTCGATGGCAAAGTTGAAGAGGAATGGTGAGATCGGGCAACCCTGTCTAACCCCACTGCTCGAATGGAACAAGTGAGAAAGGTGGTTGTATGCCCTTACTCTGCCTGAGGTGTTCGTATACAGGGTCTTTAAGATGTTAATGAACTTCTCAGGCACACCCTTCTTCAATAGACAATCCCAGAGAACAGTCCTGTCCAACGAATCGAAGGCCGCCCTGAAATCAAGAAACACTACGATTGTTGACCTGCGATAAGTATGACGGTGTTCTAACTTTTGGCGGAGGGTGAAGATGTGATCAATGTATCCTCGACCAGAACGAAAACCAGCCTGCTCCTCGCGAGTCAATCGTTCTCGCGTTTTAAACAACCTACTAAGAATGACAGAAGCCAATAGTTTGGACGCAATCGGAAGTAGGCGTATCCCCCGATAGTTGTTACAGGAACAACGTGAACCCTTTTTAAAGATAGGGACAACTATCGACTCATTCCACGACGTTGGAACACTTTCTAGCTCCCAAACCTTTGCAAACGACACAGTCAATTCCTTAGCCAGAAAGTTACCACTATCTTTAAAAAGAGCCGGAGGTAAGTCATCTGGGCCAGGTGATTTGTAACGTTTCAAGGGTTGGAGTTCCTTGCGGACTTCCGCCTCGTTTGGTAGATCAGTCATCACCGGCCATGAGGGGCAGGACTAACTGGTCGATGTTGCCGGAGCAGCGGGCCAGTTGAACTGCCCTTCGAAGAATTCCGCCCATCTCGCAAGACGTCGGGAGATGTTAGTGATTGGCATCCCGTCATCCTCGCAGATTGTTTCACTCACACCAGACTTCTTGCTGCCAGTGGCTCGGATGAGTTGGGTGAGCTTCCGGCAGTTACCAGATGCAGCTGATGCTTCCATCTCATTAGCACGCTCCGGCTACCAGACTTCTCGGTCCTCACGCAAGTTTTGCCCAATTTCACTACGTAACAGCCTTCGTTTATGGTCATACTCACGGTCACCCGGAGTAGACCGACGGGCTTCCATCAGTTGTAGGGAGCCAAAAGAAACCCAGTGCTTATAAGCGGGACGTTTCGCGAAGCCGCAAGCGGCTTTACTCGCCATTTTCATGACGTCATGAAGATGCAACCAATGCTCATCTATACTTTTCGGTGGGATGGTAGCTAGCCTAGAAGCTAGCTCCGCTCGATACTTACTTGCAACAGAAGTTGCAGCCAGTTTACTAACATCAATCAGTTGATGGCGGTCAATTCTTCGGCCACTGAAAAGTAAGGTAAGATAGGCGCAGACCAGGGCATGATCAGACTCCAGATAGGTACTCCGAAAGTAGCAGAAGTCTTTTACATAACCACGCCAGCGGTAGCTGATCGCGACGTGATCAATCTGAGTCCAGGCTTGGGATGCAGAGGGAGGACGCCAGGTGGCACACCGGAGATGACTGTGCCAGAAGTTAGTGCTAGCCAGAAACAGGTTGTGGTCTGTGCACAGTTGCAGCAAATGGTCCCCGTTATCTGTCCTGCGACCAATAAGTCCCCATCGGCCACCTAGACGACTCTCTTCTGTGTCTAGACGCCCGACCTGTGCATTCAAGTCTCCTGCTAGTACTACAATATCTGTCGAACGCGCTTTCTGGAGAAGAACAGTTAACTGGTGGTAGAACTCATCCTTGATTGCATCCGGGCTGCAATCTGTCGGGCCATAGGCGGAGATGACGAAGAGACATCGTTTCTCACGCCGATTTTTTCTCACTTTGATGGAACTTTCTAATCTAACAGCACATAACCGACTGTTAATGGGGATCCAATCGATCAGTGCTGCCTCAGCTCTAGCGCTTAGTGCGACACCAAAGCCAGAAAGACCAGACGAGGATGTCACAGGGTCCCCGGATAAGCGCACGTGAAACAAGCTTTCGGAGCGACAGATGGACAGCGAATTTGTAGTACTTCACTAGAGTCTTGAATACGGGTCTCGGATAGCCAGCAAACATCAACATTAAGACTTTCTAAAGACATAGCCAGCCCCATCTGTTGTCCGATCTGCATTAGTGTGCGAACGTTAAAGGAAGCCAGCTTAAACGGCGTACGTGGTTTCAGAAAGACTGGTTCAGTATTCGTAATCGGTGGAAGCATTCACTTTCGACCAGACAGCGACTAGAGATCGTTTAGATAGAATAGAGTTTCCACCATGGGCGAGCTGCTGCATAAGTTGAAAAGTAAGGGTACACAAATTGGGAACAAAAGGGGGTGAATTAGCGATATGACAAATAATAATAATAATAATAATAATAATAATAATGATAATAATTATAATAGCAATAAAAATAATAATGATAATGATAATAATAATAATAATAATAATAATAATAATAATAATAATGCAAACTGTCTGGCACATGGTAAGTGCATATAGTAAGTAATAGGATTGTCAGTACAAGTCATCATCTCATTTATTTGTGTGAGGGCTGAGATACTGCCCAGGTGCCCAAACTGAAACAGGTGATTTTCTTAGGGCCACACCCCGAGCCTTTGACCTAAAGGTCTAACCCACAAGGCAGTGGAGCATCGTGAGGAGATGCAGTCTCATGGTAGCCGGTGACCAACGATTGGTTCATACGCCATGTGTCCCCTTAGGGTACTGGAGCCCATGTGCACCATTGGTTTGGAATCAGGGTTTTCCAACTCCTCTAGGTGGACTTTCCGTGTCCACCAACCCGGTTAAAACGCCAGACATTCGCTTTTCGTCCTCTCACTTTCGTGAACAACACCGCCACGAGAAGGCAGTGTGTAGGACTTCCCTAGCAGGGGCTATATACGTGTGGCCATGTGATAGCATTTGGAGAGGGAGAGCGGACTCTCCCCACTCTCGGCCGTACCAGGGCTGTAAACGCAATACTGACGACCCGGGGTTTATGCGAAAGCTGTAGTCAGGACAAAGACAATTTGGCTTTAAACTTTATATGTTTCTAAACATAAAAACATTTCGATTATTACAACAATCAAAGGAATTTTATTCATTAAGTGAAACGCACAAAAATACCAACCAACATTGCGTGTCTTATCGAAACGAACAAAAATTGAGTCACACTAATATAATAGAATAATAATGTCCTTCAATTGGCAGGCTACAAGAAACAGGGATAGTCTACAGACATATAAGACCAGATTGACGTGGTGGGCGTTTAAGCAACGGTTTGGTTGGTTAGTTATGGACATAACTAACAGTCGCTCCCAAGTCCAGGTAAAATACACGATGAATAGAGTTATTTCTTACCGTGAAGCACATCCCAATTTAATTTTCGAAGACTCTTTGATCATCCTGTAAAACAGTAAATACATTACAGTACATTTTGTGAAATGCCTACCTCAATATTACTTGCGCATCTGAGTACACATCAACTCGTCTCTCACTACTATCGTACACAGTGTTATTTCTAACAGATTACCATTCCTGAGTAAAATTTTATAAGAGCCTCACTTTTGTATGAATGGAGGATAAACGTGAGTGTCGCACCACAGAGGCCAAAGAGTGAAGTCTAGAAATGAAATTAACATTACTGTTTTCTCTACCAAGATCGAACACGATAAGTTTAGGAAGCCGGGAGAATGTACTTAAGAAATCCACGGTGACCATTTGGGTTAGCTGGACTAATTAGCCTGTAAAAGCTGTGAATAACTTACAAGTACGTTGTTTTCGGTAAACTGTGGGGAAAGACTGAAGTACGTTTGGCGGTCAAGCAGTCTATTACGTACGCACGGACGATAAATCAGTGAATGCAAAGCACTCGGATTATGAGGAAGAATAAGTTCCAGAGTGTTAACGACGTAGCGGCAGTTTATACATAAGAACTCGCCAGTCAATTATTATTATATTTCTGATGTGTTGTCCCTTTAAATGGTTCAAATGGTTGAGGACGGAATAGAAGAAGCTTTCGCTTAACGGGCTTCCGTGTCTAGTAGCAGTGGATCACCAATACCTCCAGGCAAAAACCTAGGTATATGAACGATAATAGAGGGGAAAAAAGAATTTGGTAAATCATAATAATATGTTATCCTTAGTCCTTAAGAATAAGTCAAGTTTCCTATTAAAGGACTCCTGGGAGGTCGCTTGGACTAGCTTAGTCGGCAGCGAATTCCAGCATATGACAAATCTAACGGAGTAGAAGTTGTGTCTGCAGTCTGTTCTGCTATGTAGGGTCTCCAATTTCTGGGTGATGTTTAAGGAGATGACCAGAAGTATTAAGGATACTGTAAGTCATAAGAAGATCACCTCTAAGACGCCTGTACTCTAACGGGTAAAAGTTAAGTGATTTGAGGCGCTCTTCATAAGGTTTGAATTTGAGTCCCCGAACTGATTTCGTGGCTCGACGTTGTATACGTTCCAGAGTGTCCTTATCCTTTTGGAGAGAAGGGAGGAAATACTATGTTTCCGTACTCTAAATGGGGATGAATAAAACTGTTGAAGATTATATGGAAGGTTCTACCGTCAAACTGGCCAAAAATGCGCTTCAATGTTACTAGTGCAAGGTTTGCTTGAGAGGCGTTTTGTCACAGTTCGCATACGATTTCAGGTCATAGGGTATCAACACTCCTAAATCTTTTTCAACTTGGGAAACTTCTAGAGGGGAGTTACCTAAGTTATAACTATAGTCTGCAACATGTCTCAGATGGACTACCTTGCACTTTGAAGTGTTGAAGGTAAGACCGTTGTCGTCTGCCCAACTTTGAAGTCGGGTCAATCTTCAGTAATAAGGATAGTAGGTTGATGAACCTATGTTAATCCTGACAGATTTCCTTCCAGTGAAGGTCCAGCTTCTTTTTGAAAATGTTCACTGATAGTGCTGATACCACTTGTTCTGGTAAAGCGTTCCAGTCATTGACCACTCGATGAGAAAAACGGGACCCCACCTTTAGTTTATTAGATCGCGGTTTCAGAACCTTCTTGCTATGACCCCGGAGATTATTAGTGCTGGAGGAGGCAAAAAGATAAGACATATTAACACCCAGATCATAATTAAAGATACGAAATGCCAGTATAAGGTCACCTCGCGTCCTACGATAAGATAAGGGGAAAAGGTTTAGACGTTTTAAACGCTCATCGTTAGGGAGTTTAAAAAGACCCTTTACTAATTTTGTCCCTACACGCTGGACACGCTCAAGCGATTTAGTATCCTTTATCAGACAAGGGCTAGCTGCTTGGATACAGTATTCTAAGTGTGGCCTTACATAGGTGGGATATAAAATTCGAAACATATCCTCGTCGAAGCATTTAAATGCTCTGCGAAGCGACCATAGCGCGCGATAGCCTTTGGAAGCAACCGCATTACAGTGCGTAGTAGTTTTTAAGTCGTGACTTATAATTACTCCTAAGTTTTTGTGCTCTTGAACGCATGGCAGAGATGTACCATTAATGGTATAATGGTAACTAATCTCGTGCCCGATGTGCATGAACACGCTCTTCCTGGAATTAACTTCCAGACCCCAATCATGAGCCCACCCAACTAATTCGTCTAAATCTGCTTGCAAATAACAACGATCAGTCTCATTTCTTATTGTTCTCCAGATTTTAACATCAGCCGCAAACAATAACGTCGACGACTTAATTAATAAAGGTAGTTCATTAATATACAGAAGGAAAAGTAAAGGGCCTAAGATGATGCCTTTGGGTACACATTTTTTGACCGGTTTCCATTCGGATAGCGTTCGATTGACCCTCACTCTCTGTCTGCGGTCACATAAGAAGCTTCCTATCCATTCATGTATAGCACCTGTTATTCCAAAGCTCGAGAGCTTTTGCATAAGACCTAAGTGTGAAACCTTATCAAACACTTTGCTAAAATCTATGAATATCACGTCGACAGACAGGCCGTTGTCTAGGGCAGCTGTCCAATCCTCTCTCGCAATGAGTAAGTTAGTCAAGCATGAATGCTTGTTACGAAACCCATGTTGCTCGGGAGTTAACAGATTGTACGAATCTATGTGACTCAGTAGCTTAGCCCGAATTAATTTTTCAAGTAACTTAACTACTATACTGGTCAGGCTAACAGGCCGGTAATTAGATACGATCCGTCTCTGACCATCCTTAAATATAGGACTAACTATGGCGTCTTTCCAGTCTCTAGGTAGTTGAGCCTGTGAAAGGGACATGTTAAAGAGCATCGTGAGCGGTCTTGAGATAATGTCCGCAAGCGACGACAGCAAACGTGGGTGTAACCCATCGGGGCTCGGTACCTTACAAGGTTTTAGGTTAGTTATCAAAGGAAGAACAATATCCTCAGTCGCGTGTAAAGGTCCTATGGCTGGTATCTCATTGTCAACGGGACAAGTAGTTGTAACACTACACGTAGAGTAGACTTCACTGAAATAGTTAGCAAATGTCTCCGCTTTCGCTAGATCAGATTCAGCCAATAAAGCTGAATTTTCGCTTAACAGTAATGAGGGGATACCATCACTACGTTTTGTCCGCCTTTTAACATACGAAAACAGTCGCTTCGGACAGGTACGGCTATCGTATGCCAACTGTCGTTCGTAAGCCGTGCGGGATTTAGCTATGGTCTTTTTACATATATTCCGGATTTTTTTTATATTCGCACTTAAATGATGCCTGACCTGTTGACAAGAATAAGTCCCAGAAGTGTTTCCTACGCTTCAACAGCTTCCGGGTTTCCTTATTAATCCATGGAGGGCAATATGATAGCTTACGTGCTGACCATGGGATAAACGGTTGAGTTACGGATTCGAACGTAGACTTAAACCTATTCCATGCACCATCAATCGATCCATCAGCATCGACCGACCAGTCAATCGAGATAGCATAGTCCCTGATTGCCGGAATATTAGCTCTCCAGATATTAGGACGGGGTGGAGCAGATGCAAATTCTATACCATGTATCCGGAACTTAAAGGAAAGTACGACATGGTCACTATTCACCAGTGGGGGAAGGTGTTGAATGTCGACGATATCTTCACAGTGGTGTGTGAGGACAAGGTCTATCAATGACGGATTATGTTCCAAGTCTATATGCGTCGGCTTAACGATACATTGTACAGGTGCACATTGAATAATTGATGACAGAAGGACGCTATCGAAACCCCCACCTGGAGCTGTGAGCTCTATCCAGTTTATATGGGGTGCATTGAAGTTTCCAACGATGAGACAACATTCTGCTTTACTCTAAGAACAGACGTGTCTTAGGATAAAGTCGTCAGCGAGACAACACGGACTACGATATATTCCTCCTATCGTCACTAACCCGTTTCTAGACCTAATTGTACAACATACTACCTCACACGTACCACTTACATGCGCCTCCGATATGATCGAGTTTACGCGGAAGTGGTCCCTAACATATAGTATTATGCCTCCTCCCTTGCGACTTCTAATTCTATCACTTCTGATACAGATGTAGCCTGAAATGACTGGAGAACAGTCTATATCTACAGTGAGCATGTTTCGGTGATAACAATTATATCCGGATTTAATTCGTCTACCATCAAACTTAGTTCAGACATCTTATTCCGAAGACTACGGGCATTCGTGTAGCACACATTTAAGGTGTTTTTGGAGACATACGTTCTACCTACACAGGTCTCGGAAGCATTGGTTTCCAAGACCTGACTACCCGAAAACCCTTAATCGTAAGGTTCGCTTCACTGTTTAGCTTTCGAGTTTTTAACTCTGTTAGGGCATTCTTCCACTTGATCCGATCCTCAAGTGGCCGGTCAAGTCGAATACGAATGTTTGAGTCACGAGTTTTGCGTACGTTATTTAGTACTACGTCCCTTTCCTCAAAATTACCGAGTACTAATTTAAGGATCCTTTTCTGTTGGGTTTCGCCTCCAACATATTTACCGAGTCTGATGACTTTCGAGATATGTACCCCTGGGACCTCACCGGGCAGTATATTTCTGATGAGAGATCTCACTAACTGCAGGTCGTGGGCATGTCTCTTAGCGGGATCGGTGTCTTTCGATTCCTTTAAGTTCCAGATGACTAAACTAGGCACCTGTTTAACTTCCTTAAAAGTCGTGTTCACGGCCTTCGACAGTGACGTCAGATCCTGCCGGTTAGCTACCGGCTTCTTACTGTTAGCTTTCTTTATAACAGTGTCATGTGGGTCGAGCGAGTGACTCATAACAACATTTGGTGAAGTTAAACTGTTCCCATCCACATCAGTTTTAAATATTTTCTTACATTTGGACTTGAGCGGAGTTGCTTGATGCTCAGGACGTGAGTCCAACGAGGACTTACCGACTATACGCGCGCTTTCTTTGGGTATTTTTCCGTCTCTTTTACGTTTCCGCGTAATCCATTTCCCACTAGTCTCAGAATCCAGATTGGAACTACTCTGGACGATAGTGGTTCTAGCCGGGTCCTCAGTCGCTGCTAAAGCAACTGATCCCTCAGTACTTAATGGCATGACTTTCATTGGTTGTATGGGGTAGAAATTTTTGCTTCATGTTGCAAAATTGGGTGTCTGGTGCCTGCCATGGCAGCATTTACGACGCTGATACAATCTTCGTTATCAGTATCCATGTTGCCGGCACGACCTACGTCGACCTTTTTAGCTAACGCTAGAAGGCTAATGGCTTCCTGAATGAGTAATGTCTTGCCTGAGCAACAAAACATACAGAGCCAATGAGAATTTGGTTTCGAGCACCTTTTATAGGCAGCAGGGCTTAAGCGGGTGCACATTTTGTGAAACCACTTCTTACATTCGTCACATTGCATCCCTTCTTCCACGGGGAATAAGCAATATAGCTGTCCACACTTGTGTACAGAGCCTACCATCTTAGAATGAAGCAAAATGATAGGCAAGGTAGATATGTAAGACAAATCACAACCTTAATCAAATAAACAAGCCGCAGTCGACCAAGAATGCTTTGATGCAGTAAATGCACAAAAGCAGGATCAGATCCTCCTGAAGAACTAGTACATCATTATGATTACGTATCTCTCTCCAAAGTTTCACATCATCAGCAAAAATCAATCAGTCAGATGAAACTTGTCGAGGAAGATCGTTAATATAAATCAAAAAGAGAAGAGGTCCTAGTATTGAGCCCTGGGGGATTACAAAAAACAAAGATGTAACGGAAACTAAAAAATTCAAGTCAGTAGTTGTACGTCGTTATTCAGATAATCAAACAACTAGTAGTAATTCATTAAATTCTTGGGATACAGCTTAAGTAAGCTGATTACACAACCTTGAAGGACTAAAACGCCGCCTGGTACTGCCTTGACAAGTACTCAATATCCAATAACACCCCAGAAACTTATTCCGGGAGATGCGATTTTATGCTCTCCAAGGTAGACAGATAGGTTAAACTTGTCTCCACCGTCTATAAAGCTAGGTCTCATTATGAAACAGCTGGAAGTTATCGATTGGAAGTTTATAGTCTTTTATAACTTTTATGGACTAAGTTTGATGTAAAGCCGTTATACATTGAAGCCCCTAGATTTAGACGATTATTGGTCAAAACCTTCTACTGTATAGGCTTTTAAAGGGAGGATTCTTTGAACATCACATGTGCAGGATGTCCTACTGAGACAGGTATCGCGATATAACGATTAGGCATCTAATAGAATGTCTCCCTTGGGTTAGTACTGTCTGAATAGCGACGCTTAAACTTGGATCATCTCATCAAATTGAGTGGATGCCTAGGCCTATTTCCAGTTGTGAGTTGGCTCGAGTTTTCATTAGGTTTCTATTCACTCGTCTGGCTAACCTAAATTTGGTCTCGTGAATCGTCATTCATTTCGAATCATGGGCTTACTGTGTCAAGATTCATTAGCGATCGTTATCGTTTCAGGCGACTACAATGTTATCTGGAGTAACTTTGAGTGAGGCGATCAAGTAAGGTACACGAATCCGGAGAGTGTAGTGACAAGGCCTTTGCCCAGATTGCTTGGGTTGAACCTAACTGTGGTATATCCCCGTTGATTTATATTATGGCCTGCATTTCTTCCGACTTTATATCTATGATAAAATCATCCTCACCACTCGTAGACTCTTCGATCACCGTCCAAAAAGACGTCATACGAACGATCGAAACCTTTGAAAATTTGAGCAAGTATCTGTCTACTGGAATGTCTCTGTTGTATTACTTCTCTGCTTATCATTATAAGGTATATCGTCGGTCTCCATGACTGCATGAGTAGTAGTTGTCTGTGCTCCTTCCAGAATACCAGTGTTTTCAAAAAAAGCTATTTTTCAACCAAAACGTTTTAAGCGAGCCTGTGTAATCTGTTCACTTCTGGTTAGAATTAGGTTCATCTATATGATATGTATCGTGAACATAATAGTGGTCTGACGTCTTCGCAAACCTCACAAAAGTCAAAATACAGCATGTCTATAGGAAGCTTGTCACCTTTCAGTGCACATCAGTCTTGCCGGGCCACGGAAGACCCGCTATGGGGAAATATTATTTTTTAAAGTTTCGATTTGAGCAAATCGTAACAAAAAATCATTAAAAGCTCCAAATCAAGTTCAATCAAAATCAAGAAGGGATTGACCAAACACGATGAAAAGAGTGATGCTAAAAGTTTTAAAATAGATGAAAAAACTAGCAACAGAACGAAAATTAAAAAACACATCTAAGTGCATTTTAAGAAAAGTACACTAAATAAGAGTTGGTTTGATATGTAAAGTACACCAGTATTCATGTCATTACTATGTGCATTGCAGATAATTGTGTAACCGTTGTCCGACTTCAGTATGACCGAAACTCTGGACTTTCCAACAAGATATAGATCTTATGTACTTCAAATTTTCTCTTTCGATAAATCATTCGAGCGCTATCATTTAACTGATTACGTTCCAGCATCATGTAACGAGACTTATCTGAAAGTACATCACAATTACGTATAACGGTTAAAACATTCCAACTCATAAACCTTCATTTATGTGTTGTCCAGTCATGCAGATACCCAACATCTCTGCTAAGTGCATTCATTGGAGTGACAGATGACTTTACATATTAAAGCACCACATGCTTATATCAATCGAGAATATCACCGAATAACGAAACTATACTGTTTCCAGATAAATACCATCTAAATACCATCTGCAAACCATCTAAAAATAGAACAACACACATGAGAAGCACGGGAACAATCAAAGAAGAACCACTGTTACAAGTAAAAACACAAGAAGATATGTGCAAAGTTAAGGCAAAAATATGTGAATTATAAGCCGAGATGGTGATGACTACTAGTGGAGTCTAGGATGTGCGTTTCATCCTGTTTGGAACTCGTCATTTGGATGCATCTGTAACTGAGTTGATTTTCGCTCTGAAACTCAAACCCAATGACGTCCATTTCAAACACCACTGCTTTATTGTAAGGAGTAGAAGTATTTGAATTATTCTACGAACTAGAAAACCTCCAAACAGGGCAATTTAGCACACACAGAACCAGGTGAGCACAAACAAATGTATTGTATGTGGAATTCGAAATCATGCAGATATCAAAAACAAAAAAATCATCAGTTCATACAAAGACCACAGTATTCCGAACAAGGATTCGAGTAATCGTTTCCAACAAGTAGTCAATAGTCAAAAATCATCGCCCGAACCACGCTATTACTTTGGGTTTGGTTAAACACAACCCCATCGTAAAGACTGACCAACATGTAATCTTCAGTAACAACGGCAAATCTTTAGTAAGGTCAAATGATAAAGGCCAGGATAAGGGAAGCTAAATAATATTGAACTTGACTACAAGAGACCTATGTAAAAGATAAAATACGAGAGAGGGTGAAAGAACAAATGAATAGCAGTACTGTTTATTAAAATACTGTACAGGATTTTCAGTGTATTTTTCCTGTTATAAAGACTTCGACATCCAAGATTATAATACCTAGGTCTTAAAAGAAACATGTCGTGTAAGAAAATGAGCACCCCAGATTATTAAAGTAAAAACGCTATATCCAAGGCTCAACAATGATCTTAATCAAGCAATCCATAGAGATATTCACATCAAACAGCCAATAGTCAGGTAGGTTAACACTTCTTCTAGTTGTTGGTGTAAAGGATGATCTATAAACGAACCTACCAGTGACAACATGAACTGTCAATCACCATATTAACTCCCTTCGGCTTTGTATGACTGTGCTTTACTTCTTTACCAGCCACAATTCTATGCTTACCATGAACGATACCAAGTTTGTCGACTGATCTTTCCTATCCTCTAGTTACTGTTCGGTATATTATTTATATCTCTCTTTTGCCCTGTTCATTAGACGGTTTTGTTTATTTTGTATACTAACAGTGTCATTTACGTTTTTTAAACAGATAAATTTCATCAAGCCAAATAGCTCACTTGTTCTGACTTTGTCTAAGCTGAGACTCTGTTCTTGAAAGTCTAGAAAATAGTTTAGAGCTACACCTGTAAGAAATTACTTCCTTTATCTATTCATATCTCTCGACCTTAATCTTCCTTCTCCTTTCTGTTCTTCTTTTAATACCTTGAATCTTAAGACCAACAAGTCGACCAATCTCTAAAGCGAATTGTTTGTTCTGCCAACACTGCTAACATAGAACAAACAAATTCGTTCAACGCGAGACATATGGATCTACAAATGATTGTCATTTGTTAGTGCCTTTTGTTAACTCTAAATCACATAGATGAGGAGTGATGAAATCGTGTCCCTAATGAGCTCCGTATGTATTTTTTAGCCTATTTGTGTTGTTTAGCGCCCGAACAAAACTAGTCAGATAATAAATTGTTTAAGAAACATGCATTCCTTAGTTCAGAAAGATGATAAGAGATATACAATGGAGAAGACAAATGGGTATACTCAAAGTATATCTCGTTACAATCGGTATTATAGCTCAAAGTAGAAGATTAATAGTGTGATCAAGAAGGAATATATTAACAAGATACTAAGTTTAGAGAAACATAAACACAAATAAGACGTAGAAGTGTGGAAATATGAGAACACGAATGTAAGAGGCAGTTTTTATGCTGTTGAGGGCTATACAAACGTCATATTAAGAAAGTGTTCTTCAATCTAGAAACGATATAACAGTCATGATAAGGTGTGTAGTTAATTAAGGTCACAAATACGAGCTATAAAGATTGCATTGTACACAATAAGCGACCGAAATACAAAGTGTACTGCACACTCCGAAAGATTTCTGATCCACGAAATCTAACTGAAATGTGAAGTGGCCGACACCTCAAAGATAAACTTGGTAATAATCACTTTTATAGCAGAAAAATTCCCATCATATTAAAACACATATTTCTATGTTTTAACAATTTTGCTACGATGTACTACATTGTACTGGTCACAATTGCCTATTAGGAAGGTAGAAGTCACTAGATACTCCGGTGATTTCCGAATTAATAAAATCTGTCAAAAAGATCACCATGAACTCACTAGGATCAGTGAAAATGAGTGACTAACCAGTCACAAAGATATTGGGTTACCTGGGAGGTGAGAGCAGACTCCATACTGATCTGTTAATACCTCTCCTGATTCTCTTTGTTTCAAACGCCTATGGACCCAACTCAAGCAAACTCTGATATTCGAGATTGGAAATTCATTAAGCATTTCTTAGAACTCAAAAACATACTGACCCAACAGGTGATGAGACTAGCCAAGAAAGACGGAGACTCTAGACCATGGCTATTGAAGGTAACCTTCCCCTCCTCCCATATGGCGGCTGCAACTCTGGAAGCATTTCGTGCCAACAGACGTCGGTTGCCAACTGGCATCCATATGCATCCGGACGGGCCACACAACAGCAGGATCAAGCACAAACGCAAGCTGGAGCTGACAATTCCACTCGTGGACTGTCTTGATCACAAAAAAACATGTAAAGGACAGGTACTACCAACTCGGTAAACATTGTATAGGTAGGCTACCTGTCCACTCAGGAAAGACTCATATAGTCACACAGGAAGAGGCTCACGCGTTCCAAATTGAAAGCATAAACTGCTTATACACGAACGCCGCGAATTTGCCAAACAAAATGGATGAGCTACGTGAACTTAGCAACGTTAATGATGATGTCTTAGGGGTGACCTTCTTATGACTTGCAGTATCCTTAACACTTCTGGTCATTCCCTTAAATATATTCTTAAGCTTAGTCACAACACTAACCTAAGAGGTAACACCCAGAAACTGGAGACCCAACATAGCAGATCAGACCGCAGACACAACTTCAACTCCGTAAGAGTTGTCAAATGCTGGAATTCGTTGCCGACTGAGCTAGTCCAAGCGACCTCCCAGGAGTCCTTTAATAGGAAACTTGACTTATTCTTAAGGACTAAGGATAACATATTATTATGATTTACCAAATTCTTTTTTCCCCTCTATTATCGTTCATATACCTAGGTTTTTGCGTGGAGGTATTGTTGATCTACTGCTACTAGATACGGAAGCCCGTTAAGCGAAAGCTTCTTCTATTCCGTCCTCAACCATTTGAACCATTTGAGAGAGTGCAATGAAGGTCATCAAAACAAAAATGGCGAGAAGTTATAAATGATCTAACTGTAGGAAAGGGCATGGTCGAAAAGTCATGTCATTGATTCTCGCTCATACGTTACATGTTGTCGCGGATTTTTAATGTCATTTTTTGTCGGCTAACCACAGCATTTTTCCGTCACACGTTAAGTTTTGTAATATTTATGCGTGTTACATGGCAGTTATTGCAGTCTATTGGTTGCCTGACGTATTTGGAGCTGACAACCCGAATGAATGTTTAGTCAGCCTTATTTGGTAGTTTGTAACAATGCAAACTGAGGTAAGTGAAATTTATCATTCATGGAGTCGAATATTGAACCGAAACTATATTTTGAGGCAAAAGCAAGCTGTAAAATAATTTACATATGACTCGCCTCTCCTATTATGGTAGTGATGAACATGGGTGCTGGTAGTTGTTTATAAATTGTAATTGAAGCAATTGAGATTCAAGCTATTCATGAACCTTGTAATGGTTATAATAATCATTCCATGCAACGTTTCTATTGCGAGTTTGTTTTTCTATTGCAGGGCAACAAAGAGTAAACGCACTAGAAAAAGATAAAGAAGCCCTACGCGATCTGAACGAGCAGAACAATGAATAAAACTATTTTGTAGTAAGTTTCCCCTTTTGTACTCTATTCGTGTCTTTCAGTTTTAAAAATATATCTGTTGTGCCAGTACACTGTGTTCTAACTTCAACGGCACTTAACGGTCCTGACTGTAGTGTTGTTGTTTCAGATCGCTCGTGCTTCCAAGTGAACATCAATATACAACGTGCTACATTATGATATGAACTATTAATATACAGTCGTAAACAGTTCTATCCATGATAAGTATCACCGCTATCATCTGGACAGATATATTATTACGTAATGTGAGGAAGAAAAATAATGTAAGTCTTCAAAACTGGCACAAAACATAAGCCTGAGAATTACCGACCTATTAGCCTAACTAGCGTGGTTGTTAAAATCTTAGAAAAGATTATTCGGAAGGAGCTGTTTAAGTATCTCGATGAAAACCGGTTCCTCTCGGAAAAGCAGCATAGTTTTAAAACAGGTTACTCTTGTCTCACAAGCTTATTAGTCGCTTATGAAAGCTGATGCTCTCTTAAGGACCAAAAGTTACCTATAGACGTAGCTTACATCGATTTCAGCAAAGCTTTCGACAAAGTTCCGCACAACCGGCTGTTATATAAGCTAAGGAATATCGGGATTGGTGGCAATCTATTGATGTGGATAAAAGACTTCGTAGTTGGGCGCCAGCAAAGAGTAAGAGTGAACTCCAAGTTATCTAGCTGGGAAACTGTGTTTAGTTGAGTACTCCAGGGTACAGTTTTGGGGCCAGTGTTATTCCTCCTGTACGTAAATGATCTCCCTCATCTACTATCATCACCGGTCTTACTCTATGCTGACGATGTCA